TTTTGGTAGGAATTGGTTCAAGTTCACGACTGATTTGCGTGGATTTAAAACGGGCACTATGGGCAAATTGCGTTACAATTAAATCGAAAAGGTCGCAAAAGTGGGTGGCATTAAAGCTGATTTTAATTTTATGACAAACGTTACTTAAAATCCCATTCAGGTTCAAAAATTGGAAGCTTTGGCGAAGTTGTTTCATGAAAGAACGCATAAATTTCAACTTTTTTCATGTTATATATAAATGAATATGTATCAAATGCGAAAAAAAGTCGTCTGGCAGACCATGAAATTGATTTTTATTATAATGAAGCCAACAGTGTAGAGTTGTTTGACATTTTATTTGGCAGTTATCTGAACATAACTGTCAAATTGGGAAAGAAACTTACAACATTATTTTTTTAATTTTTAAGTTCGCTCTATATTTAACCTGTGAAGTTCTGAGCATTCTTTCATTTCTTATAGTTTTTGTAAAGCGTATTTTTTAGTATCATTTGATTTATAAACTAAAAAAATATATATCCTGGAATAGGTTGAAACACATTTAGTTAAATATATATAAATTAGAAGTCGACATTTTTATAAGTTTATGCAGATTCTGAAACTGAAGTTACTGTAGGCCTCATTTCTTTGATTATTCATGCCATGTTTCCAGATTTGTTCAAAAAATTGAATTTCAAACCCAATATTCCTAAAATCTTCCTCCGGAGCCATAAACAAGCTATATTTTTTGAATCAACACGTCAAGATCTATATCCTAGAATTTTTTGGACATTTTTAGGAAAGCTTTTTGCAAAAGCTCAATTTTTCAATACTCCGTTCTTTTGAAAAATACGACGCTTTTTCGATCATTTTAGAAAGTTAGTTAGACTTTAGTTTTCGACTTATGGAAGTCACATTCGGCAATATTTCTTCGATTATTTCTGTCGTTTTTTCAAAATCGCTAGGGGAAATCTGTCGATTTTTAGGTTTTGTCAAAAAATTGAGTTCAAATCAAATATTTCTAAAATCTTGCTTCAGGACCCAAATAACCTATATTTTTCGAATCAACACCTCGAGATCTATATCCCAGAATTTTTTGGGAATTTTAAGAAAACCCTTTTTTCAAAAGCTTAATTTTTCAATATGAAGTTTTCGGCTCTTTTTCGACCATTTTGGAAATTTTGCTAAAAATAGTTTCTTGTAGATTTCCACCTCCAAAAGTTACTTTCGCCCTCATTTCTTCGATTATTCTTTTAAGTATTTTCCCAATTGAAATGTGGCAATTTTTGATATTTTTTTTATTTAATTTCAAATCCGATATTTCTAAAATCTTGATCCTGGACCATAGATAAACTGTATTTTTAGAAAGCGTACGTTGAGATCCATATTCCAGAATTTTTTGGGAATTTTTAGGTAACTTTTTCAAAAGCTTTATTTTTCAATACTCCTTCCTTACGAAAATTTCGACGCTTTTTCGACTATTTTGGAAACTTTCGGCCTCATTTCTTCCATTATTCCTATCATTTTTCCAGAATCTCCAATTGAAATGTGGCGATTTTTAGCGTTTTTTTTTTAAGTTGATTTTCAAACCGGATATCTCCAAAATCTAACTCCAAGACCATAAACACCCAATATTTTTCGAATCAACACGTTGAGAATTATTTTCCAGAATTTTGTAGTAATTTTTAGGCAACTTTTTCGGAAGCTCAAATTTTCCTTATGAAATTTTTCATCTTTTTTCGACCATTTTGGAAATCTTGCGAAGAATATTTTCTTGTAGATTTCCACCTGTAAAAGTTACTTTCGTCCTTATTTCTTCGGTTATTCCTATTATTTTCCCAGAATCCTCAATTCAAATGTGGCAAATTTGATATATATATTTTTTTTAATTTATTTTCAAATCCGATATTTCTAAAATCTTGCCCCTGGACAAACTATATTTTTAGAAAGGGTACGTTGAGATCCATTTTTTAGATTTTTTGGGAATTTTTAGGTAACTTTTTCAAAAGTTTTATTTTTCAATACTCCTTCCTTATGAAAATTTCGATGCTTTTCCGACTATTTTGGAAACTTGGTCAAGACCATAAACACCCAGTATTTTTCGAATCAACACGTTGAGATCTATTTTCCGGAATTTTCTCTGAATTTTTAGGCAACGTTTTCGAAAGCTCAAATTTTCCTTATGAAATTTTTGACCTTTTTTCGACCATTTTGGAAATTTTGCTAAAAATAGTTTCTTGTAGATTTCCACCTCCAAAAATTACTTTCACCCTCATTTCTTAGATTATTCCTATTAAGTATTTTCCCAGAATTCCCAATTGAAATGTGGCAATTTTTGATATTTTTTATTTAATTTCAAATCCGATATTTCTAAAATCTTGCTCCTGGACCATAGACAAACTATATTTTTGGAAAGTGTACGTTGAGAACCATATTCCAGAATTTTTTCGGAATTTTAAGGTAACTTTTGCAAAAGCTTTATTTTTCAATACTCCTTCCTTGCGAAAATTTCGACACTTTTTCGACTATTTTGGAAACTTGGTTAAAGACATTTTCTTGCAGATTTCGACGTCTGGTAGTTACTTTCGGCCTCATTTCTTCCATTATTCCTATCATTTTTCCAGAATCTCCAATTGAAATGTGCCGATTTTTAGCGTTTTTTTTAAAGTTGATTTTCAAACCGGATATCTCCAAAATCTAACTCCAAGACCATAAACACCCAGTATTTTTCGAATCAACACGTTGAGATCAATTTTCCAGAATTTTCTCTTAATTTTTAGGCAACGTTTTCGAAAGCTCAAATTTTCCTTATGAAATTTTTGACCTTTTTTCGACCATTTTGGAAATTTTGCTAAAAATAGTTTCTTGTAGATTTCCACCTCCAAAACTTACTTTCGCCTTCATTTCTTCGATTATTCCTATTAAGTATTTTCCCAATTGAAATGTGGCAATTTTTGCTATTTTTTTTAAATTTTATTTCAAATCCGATATTTCTAAAATCTTGCTCCTGGACCATAGATAAACTATATTTTTAGAAAGCGTACGTTGAGATCCATATTCCAGAATTTTTTGGGAATTTTTAGGTAACTTTTTCAAAAGCTTTATTTTTCAATATTCCTTCCTTATGAAAATTTCGACGCTTTTTCAACTATTTTGGAAACTTAGTTAAAGACAGTTTCTTGCAGATTTCGACGTCTAGTAGTCACTTTCGGCCTCATTTCTTCGATTATTCCTACCATTTTTCCAGAATTTCCAATTGAAATGTACCGATTTTTAGCGTTTTTTTTTTTAATTGATTTTCGAACCGGATATCTCCAAAATCTAACTCCAAGATCATAAACACCCATTATTTTCGGAATCAAAACGTTGAGATCTAGTTTCCAGGATTTTTTGGGAATTTTTAGGCAACTTTTTCGAAAACTCAAATTTTCCTTATGAAATTTTTGACCTTCTTTCGACCATTTTGGAAATTTTGCTAAGAATATTTTCTTGTTGACTAGTTTGGAAACTTACTTAAAGACATTTTCTTGCAGATTTCGACGCTTAGTAGTTACTTTCGGCCTCGTTTCTTCGATTATTCCTACGATTTTTCCAGAATCTTCAATTGAAATGTGCCGATTTTTAGCGTTTTTTTTTTTTAAATTTATTTTCAAACTGGATATCTCCAAAATCTAACCCCGGAACCATAAATGGCCTGTATTTTTCGAATCAACACGTTGAGAACTATTTTCCAGAATTTTCTGGGAATTTTTAGGCAACGTTTTCGAAAGCTCAAATTTTCCTTATGAAATTTTTGACATTTTTTCGACCATTTTGGAAATTGTGCTAAAAATATTTTCTTGTAGCTTTCTACCTTTAGAAGTCATTTTCAGCTTCATTTCGTCGATTATTCCTATCATTTTTCCAGAATTTCCAATTGAAATGTGCCAATTTTTAGCGTTTTTCTGAAATTGATTTTCGAACCGGATATTTCCAAAATCTAACTCGAAGACCATAAACAGCCAGTATTTTTCGAATCAACACGTTGAGATCTATTTTCCAGAATTTTCTGGGAATTTTTAGGCAACGCTTTCGAAAGCTCAAATTTTCTTATGAAATTTTGGACCTTTTTCGATTATTCCTATTATTTTCCCATAATCGTCAATTTAACAATTTTAATCAATTTTTTTTTAAATCTATTTTCAAACTCGATATTTCTAAAACCTTGCTCTTAGACCATAAACAAACTATATTTTTGGAATCATTATGGAAATTTAGTTAAAGACATTTTCTTGTAAATTTCGACCTCTAGAAATTACTTTCGGTCCCATTTTCTCAATTATTTCAAATCTCATTTTTCCAAACTCGCCATTGAAATGTGGCAATTTAAAAAAAAAGATTTGAAAGTGAACGTTATAGTTTTTGGAATTTTTAGCCAACTTTTCGAAACGCTCAATTTTTTAATTTTTTTTTATGAAAATTTCCATCATTTTGAAAATTTAGTCAAAGACATTTTCGTGTACTGAATGGGGCAATGTTCATAATTTTTTAAGAAAATTGAATTTTAAACCGGATACTTCTAAAATCACGTTCCTCCTTTTTTTTAGTTCAAATGTGATATGCAAACAATATTGCACATTTATGTAAAGTAAGTGTGATTAAAAAACAAGGCGGACTCATAAACCGCAAGTGTAATTGCATATTTTAACTTTGTTTACTGTACTGTATAAGATCACATTTTAATTTTTTTTTTTAATAAAACGTAGAAATGCAGATTTTCCCCCAGATTCTAACCGCGATAAAAATATTCCCATGATCGATTCCTTGTTTTCCAAACCCGGACATTCACAAATAGACTGTTTGTCTACACTCCCGACAATACACTAATTCCCCGAGTGCCTTCAACCCTCGCAGCGCCACATTTTCATCAACCGCGCTCAAAACCCACAACCCAACCCCGCAACAATCCATCCAAATCGCCCCGCTCGACCCACAACACTTCAATAATTTCAACACGTGAAATCGCCCACTGAAACTTAGCCAACCTTTGAAATAAGCTCGTCGTGATTGGCGAGATGGGCCCGGCAGTGTATGCACGAATAAGTGCGATGGCATTGTGGCAAGTAGGCCTGGAACGTCTTCACCATGGTGCTGTTGCTGCTGCTTGTGGCGGCGGTGGTGCTGCTGGTGCTGCTGCTGTTGCTGGCTGCGACGGCAGGCCATGCGGAGCTGTCACACCTACGACAACCAGAAAAAAAAATCAATTACGCAAGAAAACCGAAGGCCGCCACGCTAACTCCCGCGTTCGGAACCCCGGCGGGGGAGTAATGAGGCGGCGGCGAAAAATAAGCGACCCCGCGGGGGTCGTTGCATAAAAAACTTAAATCAGAACGAGGAATGTAATAAAGTATAATAGTGCGGATTTTTTTGGTAGTGGTGTGAGACGGGGGTCCGCAGACCCCTTACTTTTTATAAAATTTGGCAGTGATCTACTCCGCATAAAATATACACTAATTCAACCCACTTTTCCAACCCTTCTCCCTTCTGGTTTCATTTTCTTGACACATCGTCGAACAATACCAATGGTATCGACTGGTGGGTACAAGTCACCTATGCTCACCCACCATCGATTCGTTCTATTTCCAAGTAGATTATGATAAACCCATTCATGCAAGCTACTTAATGACATTTAAAAGGGCTCAAGTCGCTGAATAATTCAATTCAGCGTTCGGTATCTATCGGGAGCGTGTCTAGACGTGGCTTTGTGGTAGAAAAAGGGCATTCGTTCGTCGTGAATTAGGGTTAATTAGTGTGAGCGAAGGCTGCACTGTCCCTCACAATACAATTAATGAATTGCAACGTGCATTAATTATGGAGTGTCTGGAGTAATTAGAGTAAAAATATTAGTCTAGTCGATAGTCGGCGAACTCCATTGTTGTCTTTCGTGGAGTGGGGCGAAACGGTGCGATTAATGAACCACATTCTTGGAATTTGTACGAATATGTTGTTAAAAGTTTTTAAATTATGTTGTTGTTTTATCTAACCTGAAACTGTTTTGTTTGTAAATCATTATAAATTGACAAGACATTAATAAAGTATAGGTGATTTTTCAAATTTCTGCTCTAGTTACCCATAACCTTCACTGAGCTTCGTGGTTACATTTTTCTACAATTTAGCTACTGATTCACATTACTAATTACAACTGAGATTTTGAAATTTTTAAAAGCAACGAGACTAAAATCACATTGTTTTCAAACTATTAAAAAATTTGTACAACCAACTTTGAATTTTTCACAATTAAATACATGCTTTTTGAATGACAATATCTAATTACACAATGGTTCTAAATCAAAATATAAACAATTTTCGGAGTATAAAAAGTTGTTTTCAGAGTCTCGATAATTATGATGTTAAATTTAAGTCGTAAAAACTCGCTTTTTAAACATCGGTGCATAAATTAATTCTTGACTAAAGAGGCATTTGTAAAACTAGTTACATAATATACTATTAACTATACAGAGTATTCTGTTTTTAAGGCGTAACGTCCAACTTCTTCTTATTATTATTTTTTTTTAATGAAACACCCTATACATTTTTACCTAATTTAATTGTCCAAAGTCAAAGTATTTTTTTAATTACGAAATTTTTTAGCAATGGAAGGATTTACAGAAAATCAGAATAGAGTTATTTTTGAAATCTGTGTTACAACATTTTGTGGTGAGATAAAGAAAAGTGATTCAATTTTCATGTAGAGTGTTTATAAAAACTGTTTTAATTATTACAATTTTCAAACATTGATATTTCAGTTTTTTCAAATAGAACACCCTATATTTTATTACCGCATCTTATTTTATTATTAAAATAGCTTTGGTGAAATTTACACTGAACAAACGTTGTTCACTTTGAAACCACTGAAACTTATTTCAAATTAAAAAAAAATCAGAAATCGAAAAGTAGAAAAATTGACTATTTAAAAATCGATACATATACTGAAATATCAAAAAACTGAAAAATCGAAAACTTGAAAATTTAGAAACGTCAAAAATTGAAAACTTAAATTATCGAAAAAATGAAAAGAAAATTGAAAAATTACGAAATTGAATTGACGAAAAATTGGGAATCGAAAAAGTGAAAAATCGAAACACGGAGAAATTGGAAAATTGAAACATGGAGAAATCGAATGTCAAAAAATCAAGAAATCGAAAAGTCAAGAAGTCCAAAAATGGAAATGTTGACAAATATGGAAAAATTCCAAAACTGAAATATCGAAAAATCGAAAAATTAAAAAAAAAATTGAAGAATCCAAAGAATCCATCGAAAATTTGAGAAATCAAAAAGTCCAAAAATCGAAAATTTAAAAAAATTATAAATTGAAAATCCTGAAAAATTGAAAATATAGAAACTAAAAAATTGAAAATTGAAAAATTAAAAAAAAATTCGGGAGTCAAAAAATGAAGGAATTGAAAGATTTCAATTCTGAAATATCGAAAAACTGAGTAATCGAAAAACCGAAAATTGAAAAATTCGAAAAATTTAAAAATCTGAAATTTAAAAAATTCAAAAATTAAAATATGGAAAAAAGAAGAAATTGAAAAATTCCAAAACTTAAATGACGACAAAATGGGAAATCGAAAAATTGGAAAATCAAAACACCGAAAAATTGGTAAACTGAAACATCGCGAAATCAAAATGTCAGAAGACAGAGAAATTGAAAAGTTAAGAAGTCGAACTATCGAAAAATTGAAAAATTAAAGAAAAATTGAAGAATTGACAAATTGAAAAATCCAAAAACTGAAATATCGATATATTGAAATACCAAAAACCTAAAAAATCGAAAAATAAAAAAATCGATTAATCGAAAAATTGAAAATCTAGAAACGTACAAATTTGAAAATCGAAAAATTTTAAAATAAAAAAATTGGGGAGTCGAAAAATGAATAAATTGAATGATCTCAATACTAAAATACCGAAAAATTGAGTAACCGAGAAATCGAGAAATTTAAAAATCTGAAATTTAAAAAATTCAAAAATCAAAATATCGAAAAAAAGAAGATATTGAAAAATTCCAAAACTGAAATGACAAAACAATGGGAAACCGAAAAATTGAAACACCGAAAAATTGGTAAACTGAAACATCGAGAAATCGAAATTCGAAAAAACGAAAATTTAAAAAATCGATAATTGAAATATCATAAACCTGATAAATTGAAAAACTAAAAAATCGAAACATTGAAAAATCCCAAAACCGAAGTACCGAAAAATCGAAAAATTAAAGAAAAATTGAAGAATCGAAAAATTGAAAAATCCAAAAACTCAACAGAAAAATTGAGAAATTGAGGAATCAACAAGTCGCAAAATTGAAAATTTTAAAAATCGGTATATTGAAATATCAAAAACCTGAAAAATCCAAAAATTAAGAAAATCGATTAATCAAGAAATTGGGAACCGAAAAACTGAAAATCGTGAAATTGGAAAATTGATAAATTCGAAAAATTGAAAAATAGAATATCCAAGAACTGAAAAATGGAGAAACCGAGAAATTGAAAAATATAAAAATCTGAAACTTAAAAAATTCAAAAATCAAAATATCGAAAAAAGAAGAAATTGAAAAATTCCAAAACTGAAATGACAAAACAATGGGAAATTGAAAAATTGAAACACCGAAAAATGGGTAAACTGACACATCGAAAAATCGAAATGTTAGTAGATCCAGAAATCGAAAAGTCAACAAGTCGAAAAATCGAAAAATTGAGAAATCGAAATTCGAAAAAACGAAAATTTAAAAAATCGATAAATTGAAGTATAAACCTGATAAATTGAAAAACTAAAAAATCGAAACATAGAAAAATTGAGAAATTGAGGAATCGAAAAGTCGCAAAATTGAAAATTTAAAAAATCGGTATATTAAAATATCAAAAACCTGAAAAATTCAAAAATTAAAAAAATCGATTAATCGAGAAATTGGCAATCGAAAAATTGAGTAATCGAAAAACTGAAAATCGAGAAATTGGAAAATTGAAAAATTCGAAAAATTGAAAAATAGAATATTCAAGAACTGAAAAATGGAGAAAACGAGAAATCGAGAAATTTAAAAATCCAAAATTTAAAAAATTCAAAAATTAAAATATCGAAAAAAGAAGAAGAAATTAAGAAATTCCAAAACTGAAATGACGAAAAAATGGGAAATCGAAAAATTGAAACACCGAAAAATTGGTTACTGAAACATCGAGAAATCAAAATGTTAGAAGATCGAGAAATCGAAAAGTCAACAAGTCGAAAAATCGAAAAATTGAGAAATCGAAATTAGAAAAAATGAAAATTTAAAAAATCGATAAATTGAAATATCATAAACCTGATAAATTGAAAATGTAAAAAATCGAAACATTGAAAAATCCCAAAACCGAAATACCGAAAAATCGAAGAATTAAAGGAAAATTGAAGAATCGAAAAATTGAAAAATCCAAACACTCAACAGAAAAATTGAGAAATTGAGGAATCAAAAAGTCCCAAAATTGAAAATTTCAAAAATCGGTATATTGAAATATCAAAAACCTGAAAAATCCAAAAATTAAAAAATCGATTAATCGAGAAATTGGGAATGGAAAAATTGAGTAGTCGAAAAACTGAAAATCGAGAAATTGGAAAATTGAAAAATTTGAAAAATTGAAAAATAGAATATCCAAGAACTGAAAAATGGAGAAACCGAGAAATTGAAAAAATTTAAAAATCTGAAATTTAAAAAATTCAAAAATTAAAATATCGAAAAAAGAAGAAATTGAGAAATTCCAAAACTGAAATGACGAAAAAATGGGAAATTGAAGAATTCAAACACCGAATAATTGGAAAACTGAAACATCGAGAAATCGAAATATTAGAAGATCGAGAAATCGAAGTCAAGAAGTCGAAAAATCGAAAATTGAAAAATCGAAATTCGAAAAAACGAAAATTTAAAAAATCGATAAATTGAAATATCATAAACCTGATAAACTGAAAAACTAGAAAATCGAAACATTGAAAAATCACAAAACCGAAATACCGAAAAATCGAAAAATTAAAGAAAAATTGAAGAATCGAAAAATTGAAAAATTCAAACACTCACCAGAAAAATTGAGAAATTGAGGAATCAAAAAGTCGCAAAATTGAAAATTTCAAAAATCGGTATATTGAAATATCAAAAACCTGAAAAATCCAAAAATTAAAAAAATCGATTAATCGAGAAATTGGGAAATCGAAAAATT